TATACCTTATTATAAAATTAATACAAATATGAACTTAATTTGTGATTATAATTGTGAAAATCGTGGAAATATAACAATGCTATTTCTTAGTGTAAGTTTTTATATTAGTAATTCATTATTATTTTTGTTAAATAATAAAAAAAAAATAATTATAATAAATAAAATTTATATGTTTATTATTATTATTATTTTATTATATAATTATTACACTTATTAATTAGGAAAAAGTCTATGGATATCACTTGACTGTAATTCAATATGTATTATGTAATCTTTGTTTGACAATTGTTTTTCGTAAACCATTTCAGGTAATACTTTAATTTTTAATATAAATTTTTTATTTAAAAAAATCTATTTTTTACTAAAGTTTGACTGTATAACAACTAATTTATATTCAACGCCATCACATGATCTATTAAATTATATTGATCTATTTGCAATGCACCAGGGACATTTGGCTGTAATTGTTAGTGGTTTGCATATTATTAAAGATAGATCACTATTGAGTACAAGTAATCTATTTGATTATAAGGTAAAAATATTTGTGTATCTGTGTGTATGCGTGTTATATATAAAAGTTATAAAAATTGTATTAACTAATCAATTTATATTATTAATTAATTATTAAAAATAATAATTAAAAATTTTATTTTAGTTATAAATTTTAAAAATTCAATTTTTTTTATGATTTCTAACATAGGTCTGGCTATTATTATTGGGAAGCATATTAGTATCGCTGTTAATTATGTATATATCAAATAGTACGGACAATAATTTTGATTATTTCAAATGGGATATTTATAGATTATTAATAAATCAAGGTGTTTTGACATTTATTAAATTTAAACGATTTAGTATAAATCAATTAGAAAACAGTTCATTACGCATAAGATTATATTTTATGCTAATTTTATGGTTTTTTGCAACATTTGTTATCTCAAAATCACTATCCAGTGTCCAATTAAATACATATTTTCATCAAAATTATATACCATTTTGTGAATCAATTGAAGAAGTTATTGATAAAAAGTCGATAAAAATTATAATAATTGATTATTATTTAGATAGATTATTTAATTTAAAATTTATTAATAATAGTACCATGGATAATTTTCGTGAACGTCAAATTGTTGATATTAGTGAAACAGATAAATTGAACATGATAGTTAATAATAAAGCAATATGGATTGCTACATATGTTGATACTGATAATTTTTACAACATTAACATTGATAAAAGTAATTTATTTACTACAGCACCAAATAGATATCTAACAACATATGCCCTGCTAATTTTATATAAAAACTTAACTTATTATAAAGAGATTAAAATTGTGTATGTATACATATATTATCATTTTTAAAAAAATTAATTAATATTTTTATTATTACATTAGATATCAAAATATATTAGAAAATGGTCTAATTCAACATCATGATACCAGTGAAAGAATTTTAAAAAAATATTTTTTGTATAAATTAAATAATAATAATAATAATAATAAATTAAATGAGACAAACATGTTTGAATATAATCGTGATTTATCAAAAAATATCAAAGTTGATGAATTTTATCGTAATTGTGGTTTAGTAATTGTGATGGGTCATTGTATATCAATGGTTATTTTAATATTGGAAATAATTTACATAATTTTCATTCACAAATATATTGTTTATTATAAATGCTATAACAAAACTAATTCATTTATTTTATCTCAACGTAGAGTATATAAACATTTTAATTTAAAGTATCAGTAAATTATAATAAAAATTAAACAATATATTTTATTTTATTGAATATACTATTATAATTAAATAAGATATATCGAATATATATATATATATTAAAAATAAATTTTGATTTTTTTTTATATTTAATATTTATAATTAAATTTTGTTTACTATATTAATATTATAAATATATTATTATAATTCATTCATACATATTGTATTTTTTATATGTTTACATAGAATCTTACATTATTAAAAAAATATAATTAAATTCTACAATAATAAACAAACAATTTATTAATATTATTAATTTAATACCTAATTTCTTTTTTCAAAAATTTCATATCACATCATATTATTTATAATATTAATAAATAAATTGAGCTAATTTAATGTATAAATATTATAAAATTAATTTTTAATATAGATTATATGCTAACATATATTAATCTATATAAAATTAATAAAATAAAATTTTTATATATTTATTTGCTGAATTTTTTATACATACTATTTTAGTACAGTATATTAAATATAGATAATTATTATAGTTATTCATTGCATTGCACATTGCAAAAATTATTAACTTCATTGAATAAATAGAATTTTATTGTAAATACACAAATGAATTAATTTGTGATCATAATAATTGTAATTATTTATAAATAAGCGTAAAAATTAAATTAAATAGACATAATAACTGGTTTGAAATATTGTTTATTTAAAATAAAATTATTATTATTATTTCTGATAAATATCTGCTAATAAGTGATTTTAAGTACACATTTTTATTTATTTTTATTGTTGTTTATCGTTTATAATTTTATTTAATGTTTTATAAAGATATTAATTATTTTTAATTAAACAATAACTCTGTCCAAAATGTCTAACATAACAAAAATAAAATTGTTGTACTCATATAATATACCATATTATTTTGTTAATATATATATGCAATTAATTTGTGATTACAACTGTGAAAATCGTGGAAATATAACATTAGTATTTCAAAATGTAAGTAATTTTAATTAATAATAATAACATTTAGTAAATTTAAAATAATGTATATTATTATTATTATATAGTATAAAAATATTTTATAACTAGTTTTAATGATAAGTATAATTAATTAGAAAAAAATATTTGGTTATCATTTGACTGTCATTCAATATCTTTTATGTAATCTATGTTTGAAAATTGTTTTTCAAAAACAATTACAGGTAAATATATATAACTTTAAAAAATTAAGTGCAAGGTCGAGATTTTTAAATAATTTTTTGTTTGTTTTATTAATTAAGTATAAGTGTATTACAACTAATCTATATTCAACGCCATCACATACGATATTAAATAATTTTGACATATTTGCAATGCACCAGGGACATTTAGCTGTAATTGTTAGTGGTTTCCATAATATTCAAGATCAATCATTATTGAGTACAACTAATCTATTTGATTATAAGGTAAAAGTACTCTCTCTCTCTCTCTCTCTCTCTCTCTCTCTCTCTCTCTCTCTCTCTCTCTCTCTCTCTCTCTCTGAGTGTGCGTGTGTTATAAAAGTTATATAAATTTCATTATCTAATAAATTTATATTATTAATTAATTATTTAAAAATAATAAATTTAAAAAATAGTAAAATAATTTGTTTAATATATATATTTTAATAAATTATATTATATGATTTTTAATATAGGTTTGGCTATTATTATTGTCGAGCATATTAGTATCTCTGTTAATTATGTATATATCAAATAATAATGGCAAAAATTTTGATTATTTAAAATGGGATATTTATAGATTATTAATGAATCAAGGTGATTTGACATTTGTAAAATTTAAAAAAGCAAATAATATTAAAATTAATAATCAATGTCTTCGCATAAGATTATATTTTATGCTAATTTTATGGTTTTTTGCGACATTTATTATCTCAAAATCACTATCCAGTGTCCAATTAAACACATATTTTCATCAAATTTCTGTACCATTATGTGAATCAATTGACGACGTTATTGACAAAAAGTCAATAAAAATTATAATAAATGATTATTATTTAAATAGATTAATTAAATTAAAACTAATTAATAATAGTACCATGGATAATTTTCGTGAACGTCAAATTGATGATACCAGTATTAGTGAAACAGATAAATTGAACATGATAGTTAATAATAAAGCAATATGGATTACTACATATGTTGATAATGATAATTTTTACGACATTAACATTGATAAAAGTAATTTATTTACTACAGCACCAAATAGATATCTAACAACATATGCTCTGCTAATTTTATATAAAAAATTAACTTATTATAAATTAATGAAAATTGTGTATGTATAAATTTATAATCTTATTTAAAAAATATAATTAATATTTTTATTATTACATTAGATATGAAAATATATTAGAAAATGGTCTAATTCAATATCATTATAAAAGTGATAAAATTTTAACAAAATATTTTTTGCTTAATAATAATAATAATATATTAAATGAGACAAATATGTTTGAATATAATCGTGATTTATCGAAAAATATCAAAGTTGATGAATTTTATCGTAATTGTGGTTTAGTAATTGTGATGGGTCATTGTATATCAATGGTTATTTTAATATTGGAAATAATTTATTTTTATACACATATATAATATTTATTATAATGTAAATAAAAAAATTAATGTAATTATAATATAATAAGAAGCCCAGTAGCTCAGGGAGCATAGGATTGGACTCACAATCGAAGGGTTGTGGGTTCGAGCCCAGGGTTGCTTCGATTAAGGCGTCGATTGCATTAAATTCTCTTAAAAATACATTAGCCTATAGTAATATATCGGGCCTTCAATGAATACCAGTTTTAATAACTGAATGAGGTGCCATTAACGATTTATTATTATTATTATTATTATTAAATCTCAACGTAGATTATATAAACATTTTAATTTAAAATTGCAATATATTACAATTATAAGTTATAAATTATACATAATTTATTTTATTGAAAATAGTATTATAATTAAATAAAATATATTTTTATTAAGTTTACTATTTATAATTATATTTTGTTATATTATTATATTATAAAAGAATATCTATTATTGATAATATAATTTTATAATTAAAACATACATATAGTATTTCAATATGTTTACATAGAATATTACATTATTAATATATAAAAAAATCTAATTAAATTTCACAATAATAACAAACAGTTTTATATGATTATTATTATTACACATAATTTAATATTATATGTATGTTATATGAAAAATATTTTAAATCAATACTGTAATATTTTTATATTATCATGGCAACTTTTGTAACTCAATGCCAACTTGTTGAATATATTGGGTAACATTTTGTTTGAGCATGGCCAAAACAGGTAAACTAACCAGTACCAATTTACTAATATCGGCAGTTTTGACTTTTTGTTCCAATGCTAACAAATCGGTTTCTAGTTGTGTTACATCCAAAGCCAATTGCATACTAATTGATTGTTGCATTTTAGCAATTTTATCATGGACAATTAGCAATTCAGCCTCAATTTTGGGTATCAATCCTAACCGTGCACTTTCCAAATTTTGTAATTGCAATTTACCGTCGGGTGTTTTGGGATCAATATGTGACAACAGGTTGACCAATGAATCGATATCATTGTTCATACCGACCATTGTTTTGTTGAGCTCCTGATGACACTGAGCTCTCAACATATTTAACTCAAACTGTACTGTAATTTTCAATAAATCCAAATCGTGTCTCAATTGAATCGGATTGACTGAGTCGATGGCATCACCTTCAATGGGATCAAATTCATTATAAATATTGATTAAAATGATTTTCAAAAAATAATTAAATTCTTGTTATTAACAATAATATTTATTGATATTAATTTTTTTAAATAAAAATTTTTCTTACATTTTATGTAAAAATATGTCAATAGTAGTAATAAATAATTAAAATACTTCATTGTTATATTATTAAATATAATTATTAAATATATTTATTTTATTGATCAATATGTTTTGTTTGACAATGACATATAAACTTATTTAAGTTACTAAATAATGTATTAGATTTTACAATTATTGCCAATTAATGTATTTTTATTTACTTTATAACTCATTGCTAACTACTTATAAATTATCAATTATTAGTTTTAATCATTTTGATATTTACCTAAGTTTAATAATTGTTTTCAATTCTATTAATAAATCAATAACTTTAGTAAAAATAATAAGATAAAAAAAATAATTAATCTAACCTTTAATTATATGAAAAAGATAATTTAATGTTAAAAAATAAAACATGTCATTTTCAGTATCAAAAACTGTTAAGTATTGCTAATTTTTAATAATTTATAAGTAATACTATGCTATATATAAAATATTAGACATTACAAACTAAAATAAAATTTTTAAAAATTTAAATAAATTAATATATTTTATTGTAAAAATAATTACCGATAAAATAATGACAATTTAGTAGTTAATGTATTTTATGATCTGTTAAAAACAGCTAAATATATAATTTTATATTGAAAAACAGTATTTTGATAATAATTATCATAATAATATACAAGAATAGATTTATTATTGTTATATTTAAAAAAAATATTATATTTAATATAAATAGTTTGATTTTATCAATAATTTTTAACTTATATATAAAATCAAAATTATAGGATAGTATATATTATTTTATGTTTTTTAATAATCTACGGTAACTTTTTCAATTCAGCTTCAATATCGGCAATTGATTGTTTCAATTGTGCAGCCAATGCATCGAGTTTTGGTAAACTGACCAGCACCAAATTAGCGGGTGTGGCCTGTTTAGCCTTTTGGGCCAGAGTTTGCAGATCCCGGTCCAGATCGGTCACCTGTAGTGCCAAATCTAGACTACTTTTTTGCAGCATACCGGCCAATGTATTATTGATATTGGTAGACTCGGTTACCACTTTGGGAACCAATTGCAAACGGGCACCTTCAATATTTTGCAACTGCAGCTGACCGTCCTTAGTGGTGGGATCCACGTGAGACAATAGGACCAACAATGAGTCCACTTCACTGTCGTAGTCGACCAGCAATTTGTTTAGCTCTTTGTGCGACTGGTTGTCCAACAATTTGATTTCCAAATCAATGCTTGCTCTGAGCGCCGTTAGGTCGGACTGCAATTTTTTCGGATCTATACTACCAAAAGCATTATCTATATAATAGTTTTTTAAGAAATAAAATTAGATATTAGTTATTTAATAAATTAGTTTTTTTAAAAATAAATACTTACTTAAAGTTATTATTGTTACAAATATAAAACAAATAATGTATTTCATTTTTTTTAATTAATTATTTTCTATAAATTAATAAATTAGTTAATTAAATAAAAGAAAATTTTGTATATATATTTTAATTTAATCCAGTTTATATACAATTGGCACAAATATTTCCAAGGTTGTTTAGATTTATTGATATTACATCAAGTGATATTTTAATTAGTAAGTTTTATTATTTTTAATTTGTAATACAAAATAAATACATTTTATTTATCAATTATTGACTGTAATAATTGATAATTATTTTATGTTTAAGTATATTGCAATCAGTCATCCAATTATTACCAATAATTAACAAGAATTTTCTAGAATTGTCTACTAATGATAATAATATAATATAGTATTGTTGTTAATGTGTTGTTAATATGTTTAATAAAATGAACTAAATATTATAATATTAATTAATATATATTTAAAAATTTTTATATTAAATGTTGACTAATTATTATAAATGTAAAGTAAATATTTTTTTATTTTATTAGGAAAACTATATTAAACGTATCAGTCATTGTTATAATTTTTTTGATATAATATGACAATAAGTATTATTTTTATGTCACACAAAGAAGTTTATGATAATTGGTTTAAAAAATGTCACATTCAGTACTAAATTTAAAAGTATTTAATCAAAAGATTAATATAATAATATTGATAATAATAGTTATAAACAATTTGTATTAAATGATTTAAATTTATATTTTAAAGTAATAACAAAATAATCACAGTTATTTTTAAAGTATTTTAATTTAGTATAAAATATAAGAGAAATAAGTTTAAGCAACTTAAACATTTTATTTACAAATATTTTTATAATTATGATATGATAAAAATTATAAATAATTATTTTTTTATTTAGTTATTATTAATATAGATAAAAAATATTACAAGTATCCTATTTTCTTTTTGAATGTAATAATTAAAAAATCAATATAAATGTTATTTATTAAATTATTAATTATTTAATATAGTAATAATATATTTTATTTTAATTAGTGAATAAAAATTAAATTGAAATAGTTTTTAGAAAAGAAATTTAAAATTATATTAGACTTTTAAATATTATAAACTATTAATATAAAGGGTTTGATTTTATTACAAATTTTGTTCATTATTACAAATAATTTATTTTATATTAAATATATAAAAATATATTGATTAAAATAATTTATTAACTTTAAACAATAAATAATTTATTTATTTTTAAAAAACTAAAAAGTTACAAATTACTGAGCCGATAGATAGACTCCAAAATACAACGGTCCCAAATAAAACTCGTACATAGCAGCGGTACCATCAAAAAAGTCAACATTCAAATAGGCTCTCTCGCCCACCACTATCCTATAGGGACCGTTCAATGCATGTAATATAGTGTCGGCAATTATAGCGTAACAATTAGTATCTTCCGTACGATACATGTCCTCTTCAGGAACATCCATACACTGTTGACTTTCAAAATCTACTGTTATTTCATCAAATTCGCTGATTATTCGACTAATATTAGCTAAAATTATATCCATATCCACATTACGGTATAGACCCAATTTATAGTTGGGTGCTTGTTGTTTCGCCAAATTTACTTTTGCTAAAATATGTGTTCCCTAATATAGTAGCAATTATAATTTAAAAAAAATAATATATTTTCAAAATATTTACTAGCTAACTAGTCTAAATAATAATTATAGTAATTTATTTTTAATAATTACAGCATCAGATCTGAGTGATGGACCACTACTACTATGTTCAGTATGACGGGAGTAGTACTGGGCCTGACTGGCACTACTGTTAAGTGGATAGTGTATAACATAGGCAATGGCCAGTTGGCTGACTATAAAACAAAATACAGTTTTATACATCATTTATTAAAAGCAAAAACGAGTTATTGAAAAATATTAATAAATTTATTTGTAATGTATTAATAATATAAATAATTAAATTGAATATTTTTTATTTTTTAGCTAATAAAAATAGTTATGATTTTTGTTATCTATTATACATATGTGCATTTTCACATAAATTATTATTGTTTTTAAAATAATATAAGATAACAAATATTTTTGTTGTTTTTGAAATATGTATTAATATAAAAAATTAATTGTTTAATATTTAAATATATAAATATAAGTATGATTTTTAAAAATTATTATAATTAAATACAATAATATCAAACTGTTTATGTTTATAATTTATATAAACTTTATACACCAACTGTACAACAATTTTATTAAAATATATCTATATTTTTAATATGTTATATAATAAATTTATCTAATAATAAAATTAATAATAAAATTCTATAAATAATAATCAGACAATACTTTATTTACTTAATTAATATACAGTATAAAGATAAGTAAAATATTCCATACGGAAAAATTATTTACAATTATAATCTGTATTTATAAATAAATTACTATTTCTAACTGGATACAATAAAAATAATATAATTAATATTTTTTTAAATAGAAAAATGACATATATTTTATTGTATAAATTAGCTCATTATCAATACAGTAATTAGGGTTCAATCAAATTCCCTCTATCTTTTTATCTTCCAAAAGTTGATTATGTTCCCTATTCATTGGAAATTCATAAGAAATTTATTTCATTGTGTTATATTTTGAACTATAAACAACAAATTTTTCAATGATGTTTGAAAATATTATATTAAACTGTATTTTGAGTGTTATTTGTAGTTTATTAATTTTATATTAATTTTTAATTATTTCAATAAATTTTTGCAAAAATATTTAAGCTATATATGCAAAAATATATTATTTGTTGTAATAATATAAAATAATTTTCATTTTCTAACAATAAATGGAAGGAAAATATCATATTTTTAATATTTTCCGGAAAAATGGAGGTATTTTATTAAGGAACTTCCCTCTCTGGCAAAGTTACTCGAACTCTAACAATAATAAAACAAATATTTTATTAAAATAACTAAAGTTATAAAAAAAAATTAAGAGTTAATACGTAATGTAGTTAGTTATTGAATAAAATTGAATTAACTATTGAATATATTTCTAATTTTAGTGTAATCTATGGGTGATTATTAATTGTTGTTATTGTTATTATTAATAATAATTTGTTATATTAATTGTATTTAGTAATTGGTTATTAATAAACAAATAATAAATTAGAAAAACAATCCAAAATTAGCAAAATAAACAGTAATTACAATACATTGTATATACAATAACTAATTAATTACATCATAAAAATATACTGTTAAGTTATTAATATTAAACACATTTTGAATATATATTATTGATATATTGTATAAAATATTAATTTAATTCAGTTTTCTAATGTTTACTGTGAATTGACATAAAATTAAATCTAAGAATAATGTGTTTTTGTTAACAATATTTTATTTTTTTTATATTGCATTTCCTAATAATATAATAAAATAACTAATATTATGTTATTTTACTATTGTCTAATTGTAGTTTCTCTAATCAGTAAATTTAATATTATTATTTAAAATTGCAAAACATTTTTTAAAAAAAACTAAAGTATAGCATTTTTAAGTAAAAATAAAACTATGAAAAACATTACTACAACTAAGCATAAAGTTGTATTAACATCAACGCTATATTTAACTGCTTTGAGTTATGTAATAATTTATTTATGTACATAGTTTATAATATTTTATATAATTAAAATTTTATATTTATCTATTCTAAAATAAATATGTAATTAAGTTAACTTGTTTTTTATTTTATTAAATTAATTAAAAAATTAGGGATTTATTGGTACAATACTAGGGCCAGTATTAAACGATTTGGCCATAAAATTCAATACAACTATCGATTGGATATCTTTTATATTTATGTGTTTTTATTTGGGATGTTTTAGTGGCGCTATATTAAGTAAACAAATTATATTTATTAAAATTTTTTAATAACAAGTTTAAATTTTTGAATTTTTGATAAAATAATAATGTTTGCTATATTTGTTTTTTGTTGTGGAAAATAATAACATCAATAATAATAACAGATAGTGTTTTATACAACTATGTTAACCGTCAACTGGCACTGGTATGTACGTTGATTGTGATGGCCTGTGTGACACCAGCTATACCCTACAGTCCAAATATTACTGTATTGTTTATACTGGCGTTTATAGCCGGATATGGAACGGGGGGTATGTTTTCTAATCTAAAATCTAAATTTTAAAAGTTTTATTTAAACAATAAATTTTAAAAATCTATAATTAATAGTTATACTGATTAAATTTTTTAATATAAATATTCTTTATATATAAAATTAACTATTAACTAATCACCACTAATAATAAATACTAATATTATCAATGTAAATAAGATATTTATTTTTGCATTAATTTGCAGTTATATAAATTAAATGTGAATAATAAATTATTAACATTATAATTTATAATAGTGTAATAGATACAATTTTTTAAATAGATTAAAATTAATTTTATATTTTTAAAAACTTAATAATATTGTTGTACTGAATAAGATTGTATTAATTATATTTAAAAATATATTTTAGACTTAGCCAGATAATTGTATCCGAATGTTTACACATTATATAAAAAATAATAGTCAGTTTGCATTATCTGGATAATTTTATAATAAATGTATATTGTTTAATATTAGTATAAAGTTTAATAATTAATTTTATCATATATTTACAGTTTATTGTACAAAAAATAAAATATAAAATTATTACTTAATATTATTTTACTAATAATATTATTTATAAAATATACATATATATTTAAATAACATAGGACTAGACGCAGCACTTGTAGTTTGGTTAGTTGAACTATGGGCCGAAAAATCAAGTGTCTATTTGAGTGGTCATCAAATATGTTTTGCGGTGGGCGTAGTATTTGGTCCCGTATTGGCCGCACCTTTTGTCACAAAAGATACTTACAATAGTAATACTGACCATAAATATCATAGTAATCATAGTCATGATGGCAACGCTAGCACGACTATCAACAGCACAATTACTATTAATACTAGTAGTAGTGTTGGCAACATTGCCATACCATTTATCATATTGGGTGCACTGTTATTATTATCGGCCTGTCTATTATTAGCTATACATTTTTATAAGCGATACATACCACCAGCACCGGCACATTTAGAAGCATCATCGGATAAAACTGATAAAAGTAGTAAACATTATAAATTTAACTGTCACAATAAATGGACAGTTGTCTATCATGCACTATTGATTGCTATATGTGGAATATGTGTAGGTATAGAAAAAATTGAATTAAACAAATAATAATATTTAAATAATTTATATAAAAATTAAGACCTGTAACTATTGGTTTAAAAATTATTTTATTTTTTATTTGAGTTTATTTGTAATATAAATAATAGGTATTTTTAGCTTTAATAGTTTTAGCCTTATATACTATAATAAAAAAAATTATAGTTTAGTATATTAATTAATTTTGTAAATATGATAGTTTGAAGTTTAATTTATAATTTCTATCAGGTATATCAAACACAACGTTTCAAATGATGACCACATTTTTAGAGTCATCTTACTTACGTATGTCTACCCAATCTGGCGATCATATGGTATCAATTATGGCAATTAGTTTGTTGGTCTACTGTATACTGACATTTGTATTGTCATTGAAATATTGGCATAAAAATCTAATTTACATCAATTGGACAGTCATTATCAGTGGCAACATATTGCTGGCATTATTCGAGTACCTAATGTTTGATGAATGGCTACTAATCGTTGCACTGGTATTCATGGGTATCGGTTTGTCCACAATATTTCCGGCTCTGTTCACGTTTGTCGAGCAGCACATGACTATCAGCAACATTACCGGCGGTTTGTGTGTCTGTGCGACCGGAACTTCGTCGACAATTTTGCCGGTAATTTGTGGTCAATTTATTAGACAAACACCGTTAGTCTTACCCTATATGAACATCATATTGAGCACAGTTGGTCTATTGGTGTTTATAGTTTTAGATGTAGTACTCTATCGCAAACAAAAATCAATGCAATAAAATAATTAATAATAATCTAAATAAAAATTAACATTTATTAATATCATTATTTAATATAACTGAATGTAAAAATTATAATATTTACAATAATAACATTAATATTAATAAATAACACATTAACATTTAATTAAATCAATGATATATATATATATATATATATATATTTGTTTTTAATACATTATTTGATATAAAGTTATAAATCATGTAATTTAGTTTAGTTGTCATAATAATCAATCATACGTGGTTCACAAGTTATTTGAAATTGAAATTTTACTTTTATAATGATCAAGCTTATTTTACACTAATACTTATAAATATAACAACAAATGTTAAAATACGTGTTTCTAATAATTTTTTATTTAGTATAATTTAGTATTAACAGGTTTTTAATATATTTATTAGTTTCTGAGATATCATACCCTTACTGAGCTATCATAACGGTTCACATATACATTAAAATTAGTAAAACCATGTATAATAGTTGGTGACAGAAAACCATAGTTTCAATTAAAAAAATATTTTCCAAATTTCATTGAATATAGAATTTATAGCCAAAAAACTATTCTCACCTATTTATTTGTCAACGATTTATCATTAATCATCAATCATTAATATCACTATATTATATTTATAACAAATTTTAGTATTTTTATATTACTATTCAACAAAATATATTTTACTACTACTCTAATTTATATTGTGTAATGCATGTCTTAAATTAGCTCTTAATCGTAAATTATTAATTACATCATTTTATGATTTAATTAAATAAAGTATATTTAATTTATATATATATATATATATATTTAAAACAATATAAAAACAAATAATAGCAAACAAAATTACTTAAATCTTATAAATATATAAATAGTTATATGTGAATAAAATAAAATTATTTAATATATTTTTATTAAATAATTTATGTATTACTCGGAATACCTGACAGTGTCTCAAAATTATATACACTTTTGTCTTTTAAAGTAAATATATTTAACAATTTAAAAAAGTATTTAAATTTTTAAAAATATATCATTTTATAATTTTATTTTATATATTTAATAATTTTACATATTATAAATTATAAAATTTTCGTAATAATAAAAATATTGAATAATTTTATTTTTATTGTTATTAAATATTTAAACTGTGTCGTTTTTTTATTATTTTATTCGTAAGTAATTTTTGTTTTGTTTTATATATTATATAAATATTTAATCAAAAACATAGAGCTCAGCAAAATACTGTTTATATTATATTAGTATTCACTGTATCAGAATATTAATATACAATTTGTATTAAATCTAAAAATCTAAAGTTTTGTAAAAATGACCAATGTCAAAGTTTGTCATAATTAATACAGTTTTTAAAAAATAAATTGTCGACTAAAATCGAATACTTATATCTTGTTTATTATATAATATATATCAAAACATTAACTATTACAATCATGTTCAATTAATTATTACAAAGTAATTTTTTACATATATAAAACACATATACATATATACAGTACTGTATAGTTGACAACATTAATTTTGAAATATTGATTTATCATTTAACATTAAAATAAACATTATAATAAATAATTTTGTTTAATAAAAATGTCTTGTAAAAATAACAATTACTTTTAAATTATATAAAAAGTAAATTCAATTAATTAGAAAATTTATATACAAATAATTCAATTATTTAATTAAAAAAGTTACATTTTATCATTATTATTATTAGCTTTACAGTTATTGTCTCAAAGATAATATAATTTAGCATGACAATATTTATACTATAGTACTGTGTATAGTATGTCTATAATTGTTATAAAAGTCAGTTGTATTTTTTAGCAATTAAACAAAAATCTAATACAATCTAATGTAAAACTAAAATATTTTAAATTTATAAAATTTTTATAGTTAATAGTATTTTTATTTACTACTATAGAATACCATTTGACGTATACTTTATATCTTTTACGAAATAACAAAAATATTTTGAATGATTTGTAGAAAAAACTCAAGTTATTAACAGTTTATAAACAAAATATAATATAAATTATAAAATGTATGTCTACTGTAATTATTAGTGTTATTTATTTTTTATATGAGAAGTAAAATTATAAGTAATATATAAAATTAATTAATTAATTAATTACTAATTATTAATACAAATTTTTTTTTGTCATTGTAAAAAGTCATCTTAAGTGCAAACCTTATATAATAATATTTTTTTGTAATAATTATTTTAAATTTTTTTATTAAGCTAAAGTTTTTGTATATATAAAAAATAAATATTAATATATACTGAAAATTTATTTGACTACAAATCTTATAAATGTCTTTCAATTTTCTAGTTATTTTTAATATAATTTTTACAATTTAATTAATAAAGTATTTATTAGTAATTATTTTTTCGCTAATAATAACAGTTTAAATTACAGCAACAAAAACAATGCTAAATACAGATAATAGCAAACATAATCATACTTTTATTCACAAACAACTGTTAACATGGAGTCTATACAGTTGTACGCTATCATATGTAAGTTTAATTATTAAGATTTAAAAAAAATAATTTTTTATTTTATTTATAATTTTAAAAAATCAGGGATTAATAATCAACGTAATTGGCCCCGTATTATATGATTTGACCCGAAAATTCAATTCAACCACTGATCGCATATCCTATATATTTATGTGCTTTTATTTGGGATATTTTGTTGGCGGATATTTAAGTAATTTTTAAAAATAATTTGTATTATTTAAATATTTATACATACAGTATATTATATATATATAGTATAATACTAGTAATAATTAACTATAATTATAAAAATATTTTTCAGATGGTCTTGTATTTAGTTATTTTAATCGTCAGCTATCAATAGTTGTATTATTGATAGGAATGGTTGGTTTTGTTGTAGCCATACCTTACAGCCCAAACATTGCTTCACTGTTTGTTTTTACGTTTATTGCCGGCTATGGTGCGGGTGGTTAGTTTAGTCTGCTTTTTCTATTTAATAAAATATATCTGCTATTTAGTATTAATATTAAATTTTGTTTTCAAAACAAGGTCTAGAAACAGGACAGATAGTTTGGTTGTGTGAAATGTGGGCCGAAAAGGCAGCTGTCTATATGGGAGGTTATCAAATATTTTTCTCGTTAGGCATACTATTGGGACCGGTATTGGCCGAACCGTTTGTTAGCAGAAAAATATCCCACACAACTGTAGTCAATACTTTTACTAATCAAACGTCACCGATGATGATGACAGAGGCAAACATTGGTATACCGTTTATCATATTAGGCGCTTTGTTATTACTATCGGGATGTCTTATACTAGCCGTGTATTTATATAAGCCATACGTTGAACCTATTAATCCAAAATCAATTGATAAATTTGATAATAAAAAATTATTTTCATTTAAAATAAAATGTCCGGACAAATGGCATTTAATATATGTAGCACTAATGGTTGTCATATTAGGTACATATGCCGGTAAGGATAATATTATAGCTATTATGATTGCTGTTTTATTATAGTTAGTTTTTTTTAAAAATCCTTATTTAGGTATTGTGTTTATGACACTGAATCTATTGCCAACATTCCTTGAGTACGCGCACATGAATATACCACCTGCACGTGCCGATCGGCTGATTCTCATAATGACCATAACGTTCCTAATAACGGCCAGTTGTATTTTATCTCTTCAAATAAAGTGGAATTCAAAAATTTTCATTTATATCAATTGGACGGGTGTTTTAATCAGCAGTATTATATTGATATTATATGAAAAGTATAGATTGGGCACCTGGTCAATTTGGTTGGGCTTTATTGCAATGGGTATCGGCTTTTCTACACTGTATCCCAATGTACTGGCATTTGTCAAACAGCGTATGGATATTAGCAACTTTGCCGGCGGTCTAGTGGTGGCCGCCTGTGGTATTTGTAGCGCCATTTTTCCCGTAATCTGCGGTCAATTTATAAAGCGATCGCCAATAGCGTTGCCAGCTATGAATTTGTTGATTAGCATATTTGGTTTCATATGTTTTGTATTATTGGATATATTTTTCTATCGAAATTCTAGAAATTTAAATTTCTTTAAAACTAACAAATCTAATAATACTGTATAATATAATATTAATAAACTGATAAAACAAATTATACAAATTTTTAAATATTCAATATATTTACAAAATTATAAATTTTTAAATAAAATTAAATAATTAACATGTACTTATTAATGGTATTTATGTTTTTAGTTTTTATAATATAAGGATTAATCAAATTAAAACTACATTAAAGTATAAATTATTTAAAACACAAAAAATTGATAAAGACATTAATGGAGTATTTATAATAAAGATGATTATAATTTTTTTTAAAAATTCATTATCCAATTTTTATACATATAAATATTAATACCTTACAAATATTATAATTACAAAAATTTTCTTTAGTAACTGAGTTTTTTTAGTGTAAATTATTATTCCTAAATATTAATTTTATTTAACAAATTTAATGATGTATTAAATTTGACAATAATTTGTTTTATAACATTGTTATATACAAACATAAACCTGAAGCAAAATATGCACCAAATAATGTATGTGTATGTGACTCATGTAAAACATTTTTATAACCAATAAAGATTGAAAATTACAATAATGACAATTAATGTTATATTCAATTATAATTAATAATAATAAAAATATTATTATTGGTTATTACAAAAGCACACAGAAAATAGTTATATTAGGCTGTATTTAATAAAAAATAATCACATATATTGATAGTAATAAAATAAAATAAAAATTATAAACCTAAGAATAATATTACTTATTTTTTAAAATTACATTATTTTAACTATTTATTTTAATTAATATTAATATTTAAATAATATAACATTGTTTTTTATTATACAATGTTATATTATTTAAATATATTATTAGTTAATGTTTAAAATATCAATATAATATATATATAATATTACAAATAGCGTTGCGCTTGAAAACATTGTATTGTATTAAAAGTACAAAATTTAATTAAATAATAAAAAGAAGTTATAATTAATGTAACTTATTTTATAATTATTTTTATATAAAAAATTATATTTAAATTAAATTATTTTTATTATTTAAATTTAGACAATATTATATCAACAAGTTTATCTGTATTATTGTTTTATTATATTAAAATAGACGATTTTTTACATAATTGTATTTTTTAACAATATGGCATTTATATTTTAAAAAGTTTGTTTTGTTAATTTTTTTATATTTTGACGTAAAAAACTTTATGTCTATTTTGATGGTTTTACTACCTGTACATTGTCTGCTGTAACCAGGGCTAGAAAAATACAAGGTTTTGAATTTTGAATTTATGTAATACAGTTAACTACAACGTACTGCATGTATTATAAAATTTTTTAAACTAATATATATTATGTTAAAAAAATTAATTTATTACTTACTATGTAGTAAAAATATAATTGCTAGAAAATGCATTATTATTATTACAATCGTTGTTTCTAAATTATAAAAATCAAATAATTTAAAATAAAAAATGAATTTCAATAAAAAAATAATATTAAATCTATATTTATTATAAAATATGATTTACTTTGCTTATATCAATGCTTTTATTACTATGTGACGCTAATTTGTTTTTGTAAACCAAATTTGTCATGTATTCTACATTGTATTAAACTGTATAATACGCTTTGTATTATACAAACATTTTGTCTCTAACCCTAACTGTATATTTATCGACAAATTGTATATACAGTATTAAATAATATTAGTTGCAAATTTTTTTTGTACATATACATTAAATTTATAAAAGTCATTCAAATATATTGTATGTATGTATTAACAATATACTAATGTAAATATTACTAATTTAGTAAAATTGATTTTATATATTAATAAAGTTTAAGTAAAAAACAATGAAAATAACAGCAAAACTAACAGAAAATCTAACTTTTTTCCAAAAACAATTATATACATGGAGTTTATATACTTCCACTCTAGCATTTGTGAGTAATAAAAATTAATTATTAAAATGTTTAGTGTTTATAGTATTCGTAGTAAAAATATATTGATCATATAATTTACAGTCGATTTTTAAAAAAATTCAGAAAATTAAAAAAAAATAATAGTCAACTGTAAATTGCAATCTGCAATTATCTGATCAATCATATTATTAATTTAAAAATGGTCAAGGACAACTTTATTTAATTGCATTAAGATTTTAAAATTTTTTAAAAATTTTATTTATAATTTTAAAAAACAGGGATTAATAATCAATGTAATTGGCCCAGTATTACATGATTTGACCCATAAATTCAATACAACCACTGATCGCATATCGTTTATATTTATGTGTTTTTATTTGGGATATTTTTTCGGCGGATTTATAAGTATTAAAAATATATTTTTTAAAAACTGTCACATTATTATAATTATAGTAAAATTAATAATATAACATTTCAGATGGTCTTATATTCAATTATTTTAATCGTCAGCTATCATTGATTGTGTTATTGATAGGAATGGTTGGTTTTGTTGTAGCCATACCCTACAGCCCCAATATTGTTGTGCTGTTTGTTTTGACATTTATTGCCGGTTATGGTGCCGGAGGTTTGACTTAAAATTATTTTGTCTCTCTCGCTCTCTCTCTCTCTCTCTCTCTCAACAAATTAAGTCATTATCTCTTAACAAAATAAGGTTTAGATACCGGACAGACAGCTTGGATATGCGAGATGTGGGCTGAAAAAGCCGCTATTTATATGTGCGGTAATCAAATTTTTTTTTCACTGGGCATTGTATTGGGACCGATATTGTCCGCACCTTTTGTTAGTAAAATTAATTTGTTTACAACTATACAACCATTTGGTAACAATAATACTAACCAAACGTCACCAATGATGGCACAGACAAATATTGGCGTACCGTTTATTATATTAGGCGCTATACTATTTTTGGCGGGTAGTTTACTTATGGCTATTTATTTTTATAGACCATATATCTCTACAGTATCACTAACAAACTCAGACAAAGTTAACGGACAGTTATTTTCGTTTAAATTTAAATGTCCAAATAAATGGCATATGATATATGTTACTTTATTGGTAGCAATAGTAGGCTCATATGTGGGTAAGTGTAGAAATATATATTATATTTTAAACTATAAGTTCAAAATTATTAATTTTAATATATAATTATATATTATTTTTTTGTTAACTAAAGGTTTCATGTTTATGACACTGAATCTGATGCCGACTTATCTGGAGTATACACACCATTATATGTCACCGGCCGGTGCCGATCGTATGGTCAACATTATGACAATAACTATATTGATTACGGCAATCACCAATGCTTTACTATCGATAAAGTTTGATTCAAAAATCTATATCTATATTAACTTTACGGCTTCATTTGTGGCCAACATTATATTAGTATTCTATGGTCAGTATAAATTGAATACTTGGTCACTGTGGTTGGCCTTTATTTTGATGGGCATCGGTGTATCGACACTGTTTCCCAATATGATGGCCTACGCCAAACAGCGTATGGATATTAGAAACCATACAGTCGGTTTAGTAGTTGCTTTTATAGGCTTATGTAGTGCCGTTTTTCCAGTAATTTGCGGCCAATTTATAAGATTGGCATCGATAGCATTGCCAGCTATGAATTTATTAGTCACTTCATTTGGTTTAATTCTTTTTATTTTATTGGATATTTTGTTTTATCGTAATTATCACATACATCATATAACTGATCAATACTAATTATATATTAATATAAATGTTTTTTGTTTTTGTTTTAGTTAGTTTTATTATCTATTACTAAAGTACTGTATTATTTTTTTAACTATTTTGTTTTGTATAAATTAAATATTTTTTGGTTATTGTTTAACATACAGAGTATTTATAAAAATGTATAACCAAAAATGCGATATGTAATTTTCAGATAATTTACAATTTATTTATCATTAAAACTTTCAATTTTACTAAAAATTTTGTAAATTTTGAACTAATTTAATTAATAAATAATTATTTCAATTGTTTAACTTAAAGGGTATTTTTCCGGTTGACAACAAATTAGTAAATATTTATCGATATTTAAAGTTATATTTTACTCAACACTTGAATTAATGTTTTGTATATTAATATAGTGAAAATCATTAAAAGATTATACTATAAGAAATATTATGTAAAACATATTAATGTAAATATTATTTATATAAAACATATATATTTACTATTATATAATATGTTTGAGTAGTAAGTCATTCAAAATATTATACAATTATAGATCCCGTATTAAATTGCGTAACATTTCTAGTATTTATATGCGGGTGGACTGTGTTTGGCAATTATCCCAGTAGTTTGAGGCAAATTTAGCCGACACAATGCCTTAACATTAACATACAATTTAACCAAACATTAATCAAAAACAATACAAATAATTAAAAATAAAATGTACATTGGTAAACTTTAATATTTGTACATTTATATCATAAGCATACATGTATTTTATTTATAGTAAAAATTATACATAAACAGTATATATATATCATTTAGATTACAATTTAATAAATTAATTTAATTATATCAAAAATAAAATAAATATGAAATTATTTATAATATTTTATAAATAACTATTATAGATATTTAAAAGTATATTTTAGTAATCAATAAACTATTATTAATTTACACAATAACATAAGCTTATTTAATAAATTTATTTTTATATATTTTTAATTAATTATTTTGCAATTAGCACTTATAATTATATGAATACGACACGTGTATGTTGTAATATATTAATAATTTAGACATAAAGGTATTGAGCAAATCTGGTTAACATAACAGCTAAATATAAAAGGCATTGATCTCATAAACTAATGTATGTGCACAACATACACGTGCTGTATGTGTAGATGTGTCTGTGTACGTATGTAAGTATGTATGTATGTGTATGAGTGTGCATTAAAAAATGTCTAATTAAAATAAAAGTTTATATATTCAATACATATATCTAATTTTTATATACTGTTAAATATATATATATATATATATATATATATATATATATATATATATATATATATTTATTATTATTATATATATATAATGATTTTAAGAAAATTAACTGTATGTATTAATTTGATATAAATTGCCAATTCATTGTAAATATAGCAATATATAAATAATAATAATAATAATAATAATTTTTATTATTTAAAAAAAATAAAAATTGATTTTAATAAGTTTGCTAAAAAATTTTTCCTTTTTTTTGGAATTTTTTTTTGCAAATATAAAATTATGTCAGTGAACATATGTATGACAAAAAAACAAATTAAATTAATTAATAGTATATTATAAATTAAATCAAACAATTTATTACTAAATACAATATCAACTTTGATCAATCATTAATTAATTAGAGAATACACATATAAAATTGTAAAATATAAAATTTATATATTAATATTTAACTATTAGATACAATTATCACAATAAAAATTAATGATAAACAAATGTATATATATTGTAAATATATAAAAGTATATAATTTATATAAAAGTTTGTATGTACCTAAATATAAATTAAAGATTTTATAATTTTTTTACTTATATCTTAAATTTTATTTTAAAAAAACTCAAAAATATAATACTAGTTATTATATCTATACATAAATTAATGTAATGACATGTCATTTAAGTAAAATTAGAGAAAAATGTTTTTTGTCTTTTTATTTATTTATTTATTTGCAAAAATATAATTTTCAGGTTACTATAGCAGTCAATATGAATTAAATTATAAATTGATATTATTTTTAATATTTTAAAAATAAGTTTTAACAATTTACACTCTCAACAATATACTGCATTATTTTATCTAAATTTTTTAATAACCACTTATAAATGAAATAATATTATCTACTAATTAAAATAATATGTTTAACAATTTTGGGTACAATATTGAAAAAATAACAATACTTATTATTATTATTACAGTAAATAAAGCATTAGTAATGAAATAAACAACAAAATTCTAATAATAAAATTTTAAATGATTTATTAAAGTATAGAAACTCATATAATTACAAATCATTGACATTGAAAAACAAAGAAATAATATATATTTATCATAAATATATATAAATAATAGACAAAAGTGCTTGACGAGGTTTTTTGATCTAACTTTAAAAGTAAAATAGTTAAAGCAGTATAAATATTTTTCAGTATTATGTAATCGTGGGGCAGATCACATAGCATTAGCACATTTTTTTATATTTCGGCTCCGGGATGCGAGATCAGGGATGATCGATATCTCAAAATCTATGAGATATTGAAATTCTGTAAAATGATTAATATAATAGATAAAAAATAATTTTATAAATGTTTGAGGATTTTTTTAGAAAGTCTAATATGATCGAATAAAAAATACATAAATGTGAAAATTGTAATATTATACTATTGTTTAAAATAAAAGTGTCAAAGTATTTTGTTATGTTATTAGTTGATAAATATTTATTATATTTTAAAAAATAATTAGTTTATTTGCAATTTTTAATTATTATGTATAGTTTTTAGATATTAAAGAAAAGCATTTTTCCATTATATAAATTTATTTAAAAATTCTTTATTAAAATTTTATAATACTAAATTATAACCCACGATTCCATAATATCAAAAAAAATATACTGCTTTTAAAGTTTGATCCAAAAAACCATGTCAAACACTTTTGTCTGATTTTATATATAATTAATGTCTAATTGGATATACAGTATATTTTGTAAAATATAATATTTCATATTTTTGTTTCAATTTCTAAATAAATTATTACATTGTATATACTATATACATATCATAACTAAAATTTTATTTTTTATTTTTCCATAATCTTAAACATGTGTTCACATAATCAAAGATATATAAAATACTATATATTTATGTAAAAAAAGCTTATAAAATAAGTTACTTTGTTTATACAAAGACAACTTTATATAAATAATTGATCAAAAATTACTCTTAAAATAATATGTGATAAGTATATATTTTTTTAATGTTTATAAATGAGTGCAATTAAATCATTAATAATAAGTTTATCTTAATTAATAATCATCTATTAAATTAAATAATTTTAATTTTTTATTTTATTTTAAATTATATAAATAAATTTTATTATATATATATATATATATAGTAATCTGATATTTTTCATTTAATTAAAAAATATATATATTAAAATTTACAGCACGTGTATAATATTTTATAACAAAGTGTGTTCATATTAATTATTAAATAAGGTATTTAAGCATTATATTTCATAAAATATAAAATCATTACAAAACTATTGTAAATTAAAACAAATTTATATTAGAAATTTATATTAAAATTGTTATATTTTTTAGTGTTTATATATTAATGTTATAATGTTAATTGAGTTAATAATAAAACAATTATAATTATAATAATATTAAATTTACAATTTATGTTAATGTGATAACAAATTTAGAAAATAATATCTATAAATAGATATTAATATATATATCTGCGATATGGGTACAAAAAATATAATTACTAATTTTCATACTAATAATAATAATAAAAAAATATCAATACCGCAAAAATTGACATTTTTCCATAAACAATTATTAACATGGACATTGTATGCAATTACAATATTATATGTAAGTTTATTTATTTATAATTATTTTGTTTTATCAAACTATTATCAATAGTAAATAATTATAATTATTATATAGTTTACTTGTAATGTATATATTATTAATTAATTATAATAATAATAATAATTAACAAAACAATTTAATTTGTTATCAAAAGGGTTTAATTCTCAACATTATTGGTCCGGTTTTACACGATTTGACCGAACAATTCAATACAACTACCGATAAAATAACGTTTATATTTATGTGTTTTAATTTTGGCTATTTTGTTGGCGCATTAATAAGTAATTTTTTTAAAAATAAAAAAAAACTATTTATTTATTATTAAATAATATGATTTTTATATTATCTATCTTTTCAAAACAAAACAGATGGATTCATATTTAATTATTTAAACCGACACCTGTCCATAGTAGCCATACTCATAGCACTGGCCGGTTTTGTGGCTGCTTTTCCCTATAGTCCTACTCTTGTTATTGTATTTGTGATGGCATTCATTGTTGGCTACGGATGTGGAGGTATGTCATAAAAATTACTTTTTTGATAGAAAATAATCTGTATATATGATAATTAAATATTAATACTATATTTTTATTAAATTTTATTACATTCATAAAGGTCTGGACACTGGACTAGTCGTATGGATTATTGAAATGTGGTCGGACCAAGCGGGCACCTATATGGCCGGCTATCAACTGTTCTACATTGTTAGCGTATTGATAGGACCATTGATGGTTACACCGTTTGTCACCCGATACGAGCCAATAGTGGCCAACTTGACCGGCAATGATGAACCTGAGAGCTATCGGCAAATACACGGCAACATTGGCATACCGTTTATCATTGTCGGTGCACTGTTACTATTGATGGCTGTTATATTGTTAGCAATACACATTTACAGACGCTATGTACCTCCACCAAAACAAACATTATCAATATCAACATTATCTTCATCAGTATCACAATCATTAGCACCGGGAGTAGAATCGCCAGTATCAACATTATCATCAGCATCACCAACATTATCATCAGTATTGCAAAATAAACAAAAATCACCAATCACAGTCAAAAAAGTTATTTACATGACATTATTTGTATTATTCATGGGTATAATTGTAGGTAAGGTATACATAGTCTATAATATAGTCTGTATACTATATACTAAAACTAATAATAATTATAATAAAATAATTTTATTTATTTATTTTTAATTATTTCAATAAAGGTATCGCCTACACGACATTCAATTTGTTGCCGACATTCATGGAGTACTCACATCTAAATATGGCACCCGAAGAGGCGGACACCATGCAAACCATACTGTCCGTTACCATGCTCATATATGCCATAGTCTATACATTGTTATCAATCAAATACTGGTGCTACATGAAAAATTTGGTTTACATCAATTGGCTTATGGTATTAGTTGGCAACATTGTACTCATACTATTCATCTATTACCAATTGGGCACCTGGTCAATTTGGTTGGGCTATATATGTCTGGGTATAGGCCATTCTACACTCTACTGCAGTGCCATAACGTTTGTCGAGTCTCATATCAAACTGAGCAATAGAGTAACCGGACTGTGTGTATGCGTTACTGGACTTTGTTCGGCAATATTCCCAGTAATTTGCGGTCAATTTATCAAACGGGCACCTGTAGCACTGCCATACATGAATATGGTGCTTGGTACAATTGGTTTGACTGCATTTATTTTACTACATGTACTACTATATCGTAAAAACATTTATAACTTCAAAAGTGTACTTATGTCCTAAAGAATTATATTATTTATTTTTTAAAAATTTTTGTAAAATATTTATGTGTGTTAATATGTTTATATAAGTATATATATATATATAATTATTATTATTATAACTACTCAATAATAGAAATTCTTAATTAATTTATTTTTGAATAAAATTTTATTTTATAATGTTTAAATAATAATAATAATAATAATTCATTTTCAATTATAATTAAAATATAAATATTTTTAGTATTATTTTTTATGTTAATTTAATTAACATATTTTTTTTGAAAAAAATTTGTTTGTGTGTATGTGTTAAAATAGTCATTAATTAATTAATTAGTGTTGCCAATTAAACATTTTAACCCCATCACTTTTTCTAAAAACTAGACTGATAGACGCCAAAATACAAGCCACCCAGGTAAAATTCATACATTTTTTGTCCACTTTTGAAAAAGTTGACATTAACATAGGCCCTCTCGCCCACCACAATATCGTAGTCACCATTGATGGCCCTGAGCACTTTTTCCGAAATAACTGCATAGCAATTGTTATTTTCATTGCGCCACATGTCCTCCTCGTTGACGGTTAGACACGGCTGACTGGAGAAGCCAACAGTTGCGTCCATGAATGCCGAAACAATAACACTGGCGTTACGGTGAACGAGATCCAGATCGACGTTTTGATAGAGACCTAGTTTATAGTTGTATGTCCTGGCTACTGTCACTTTATCCAGAATGTGGCGACCCTAGTATTTTATTTTTAAATAAAGTTTTAATATTTATGCTCATTAATCATTTTGTATTTTGTTCAATATGTTATAAACAAAATTTTGTAGTTTTTTTTAATAAAAATTAGCTGTAACAATTTTGGTAACCAATTTTAAAATTGATAAGTTACAATTAAATAGTAACTTAATTAAATAATTATATAATTCATATATATATATATATATATATATGTCGTAGATTATAATCTATAATAATTATTATACTAAATCATATGTTAAACTATATTTTATATTTTCTAAAAATAATGTTATACATATTATATACAGTATTATATATATGCTACTTACAGCATCACTGATCTGACCATTGGCCAATGGCTCAGTTAGGCTAAAACTGGCACTATCACGTTGTAGTGGTGCCGGTACACAATGGACCAGGCTAACTAAAGCCAACGATGCGATCACAATTTTAAAGTACATGATACTAATTATGTTTTTAAAACTTATATTAAACTTGAATAAAATATTAAATATTTTTTGAAAATATTTATTATGAGAAACATATTAATTAACTACCTGTATTTATATAAAATATATGTCTAGTACAAAATAGTACAGTACCTATTTTTAAATCTAAATTGTTTATTAGATATTTTCATATAGATTTTGCAATTATTTCAATATAATTTTATCAATGTAGGTAAATAAATAATATTGTAAATAATAAATGATTAAACTAATCCAACTTAAATCCTATGTTTTATTTCATTGTTATTGAGAAAGTATTTTTTATAACTTTTAATTGTTTATAAACAGTGTACGTATACCCCACTGAACACCAGTTATCAACTATAAAGGTAGTTAACTATTTTGGGACAGGTAGATAAAAAATTAATCTATAAAGTTGACAAGTATATATTACATTGCAGTAAGTTTTTCATAAAGTTAATTATTAAAAAAATTGATTTAAATATTAAATAAAATTTAGTATAGATTTATTAAATCTTAAAAACTATTATTAATAATCATCATGATTTAATTTTAGTTATAAATTGTATTAAAACAAGTTAACAAAATAATATAAAAACAATTGTATAAAAAGTTCATATACAATGTCAAATAATAATACACTACTTAATCAAATAAATGATAAAAATATTATGTGATTTATTTTGACATATTAAGTGTAAATTTAATGAAATAAATGATAATTATTTTTGTATTATCATTGATAAACCAATTATATAGTTACTAAATATCTTGCAATTATATTTGTATAATTAGTATAAAAATAAAATAAAATTTATAATAAAATTAATAGTGATATTTCAATGATAAGATTTCAAGAATTATACATGTTAATAATTTAAATGAAACACAAAAAATTATTAGAAAATTATAAATATTTATTATAATTTTAATATTTTAAATATAATTTTTAAATAATTAAATATGTTGTTTAGAAATTATAATTTTATAGTTAATATATTCATTAATAAAATAATAATGTTTTATATAAAAGTCAAATGTCAAAATTACTCAAAAATATTAGTTTTTAATTAGCTATTACTATCTCATTTTTAGTTAAATTTAATTATTTTACATCAATATTTAGTAAATTTTGTACATTTTATAAAAATTATTAAAATATTAATAGATACAAGATATTATTATTTTATAACATATAATATAATTTATTTAATATTTACACAGAATTCTGAAATTATAATCTTTCACAACTATAATAAATATAATGTTAAAACTTTATCTAATAATGTTTTTCAAAAATATAATTATAATAAAAATATAATAATTATTAACTATAATATAAATTATCTTATTTATCTGTAAATTCATAATGTAAACTTTATACAATGTAAAGTACTGTATTAATATTCTCTCTCTCTCTCTCTCTCTCTCTCTCTATATATATATATATATATATTATAGTCATAAAATTAAATATCTCTAAATATTTTAAAAAATAATTAATTTTTATTGCAAAACATTAGTTCAGTTTATCTTACAAGCTTGGCTAACAAACTTAAAAGTAATTTTTTTATATAAAATAAATAAACATTTTTCAACATTTATTGATAAAAAATGTTATTATTAATTTACTTATTATTAATTAATTATTTTTTATTTATATTTAAATAAATACTTGTCTATTATATAATTAAAATAAATATATATTTTACATATTAAATTAATAATATATATATAAAAAGTTTTATTGAAATATTATTAAAGTTAAATTATTGTGACTTTAAATCATAATGCAAGTAAACTAATATAAATTAATACCTGTTAATACTGTATATATAAAATTATATATATAATAATAAAAACTAATTAAATTTCACAGCTATAACGTCCTTTAGATAAATAATTAACTGTTATGATGAACATTTTGTTAGTATTGAGTATTTACATTTAAAAATAATAATTACAAATTAAAAATAATAATTACAAATTAAAAATAATAATTACAAATTAAAAATTAATTTTACAATAAAAAATATCTATTTAAAAAATAAAATAAGATATGTTTATTATTATTTTAATAATAATATTTAATAATATTAGTTATTTTTAACAATAATCTAATACAGAATCTTATTATAAACAATATAATATAGTGATAATTTTCTATAATTTCAAATAATATATTTTATTTTTGACCTTGACAAAAATTTTTGTACTATATAAAAAAATCTTGTATTTTATAGTTAAATTTTAGATATACTATATTATAAAATAATTTATTTATTATATTTTGCCAAATTAAAAATTGACATTATATCTTTATGATTTTGTTTAACAAAAAATTATACTAATTAAAATATTGCACATAAACCGCATTATATTGTATAAAAACAATAATAATTATAGAGATAAACATAATAGCAATTAGTTGTGAAAACTACTATAAATACTGAAATATTGACCGTTAATTAGCAATATATTATTAGTATAAACAAGTGTATATATTTTCATAGTACTTCAGTAATGTAATAATATTTTTAAAATTTAATTATTATAAAACAATGAAATCAACTAGCAGCGATAATTTGCAACAAATTAAAATCGTTGCACCAATTACTAACAAACATAAACAATTGCTAACATGGAGCTTATATTTAGCTACAATTACATATGTAAATAATTTTTTTTAAATATTGATAATTTTAATTATATTATTTTTATAATTTATTTAACTTAATAATTCCATTATTATTTGATTATTTTAATTTTAAAGGGACTAATAATCAATGTAATCGGTCCCGTATTACACGATTTGACCAAAAAATATGATACAACTACTGAAGAAATATCATATATATTTATGTGCTTTTATTTTGGCTATTTTATTGGAGCCATATTAAGTATATTATTATTATATAATATTTATAAATATAATATTTATTACATAAATAAATTTACTAATTTATATGTATTTATAATATTAATATATTTTGTTTTTAAATAGATAGTATAACCTTTAATTATGTGAATCGACATTTATCACTGGTTGTCATATTATTAATAATGGCTGGTGTAGTACCGGCCATACCCTACAGTCCCAATCTTAGTGTGATGTTTACTCTGGCATTTATAGCTGGCTATTGTACTGGAGGTATATGTTTGTTTAAATTACCATATATTCAAATTAAAATAATTTTTAAAAATATATTAGGCTTAGATACGGCACTAGTAGTTTGGATAGTCGAGATATGGGCCGAAAAGTCTAGTATCTATATGGGTGGCTATCAGGTATTTTTCTCGATGGGGATTGTATTAGGCCCGGTGCTAGCGGCACCGTTTGTATCCGACTATCACCCAAATGATCTATTACCTAAACAATTAAAGGACAGTCGACTAATAAAATTGAATAAAAGTTCTTTGGTTGCGAATAATTATGTTGATAATACTGTCGGTACAGATAACAATAATAAAAACATTGATAACAAATTACATTACGGTAACATTGAAATACCGTTTATTATTTTGGGCGCACTTTTATTACTGTCAGCACTGTTGCTATTAGCCATACATTTCTATAGACGGTATACACCGCCTAAAAAGCTGACATCACTTAATGTTGAACAAAAGTCGACTGACCACAATACTAGCAAATGGCCAGATAAATCAAAATTGATTTATATCTGTTTATTGGTGTTTACCCTTGGACCATATGTTGGTAAGTTAGAAAAAATATTAATATTATGTAATTATTACTGGTTGATTAGCATTTAGTATTAGCAATTAATATTTAGATATCATCTATCATTATATATTATTATTAACAAATTAATACAGAATTTTTAATCACTTTCATAAAAAAATATAAATTAATTTTTTAAATTATTTTAAAGTAAAAAATACTAATTTAAAATATTATTATTAAAATAGTATAACATTAGTTCTTATGAAAATAATTTTATATGACTAATACTATTTTATAATCATTATTGAATAAAAATTAAAAATTAATTATTTTAATAATTTAAATTTCTGTAAATATTTAATTTTTTTAACAATATTTATATAAATAGGTTTCGAATTTATGACATTCCAACTGTTGCCCACCTATTTGGAGTATTCACACCTACATATGCCACCCAACGAGGGTGACCACATGTTAACCATAATGACGGTCTCATTTCTCGCTTATTGTTTAATAAGTTTTTTCTTATCAATGAAATACTGGTCAAAAAATTCTATTTACATCAATTGGGCGGCAATACTGATCGGCAATATTATACTATTGGTCTTTAATCACTCATCACTGGGAATGGGAGCCCTAATAACCGGTTCAATATTTATTGGTATAGGACTGTCCACTTTGTATCCGTCAGTGTTTGCATTTGTCGAATCACAAATCGAAATCAGTAACGTTGCCGGCGGTCTAGTTGTATGTGCATGTGGATTTTTTTCGGCAATTTTCCCGGTAATATGCGGCAAATTTGTCAATGAAAATCCTGAAGTTATACCAATTATGAATTTGATACTGGGTACATTTGGTCTAACAGTTTTTATTATTTTGGATATACTATTGTACCGTCAAAGTAAAACTAACATAAATAACGCTATAAACAGCAATAGGCCGTCATTGATGGGGGCGACATCACTAAAACGATTGTCATTTATGGGTAATCCTATAAACTCATAATAATTTTATAATTTTATATTTATAAGTTATGTTAATATATTGTATAAAAAAATTCTATTTAAAATAATTACTTCTTTATATTTGTTAATTTTACATTTTTTTGTTAATTTAAATAAATTCTATACTTATTTTTTACTTAATAAATAATTTTAATTAATTTATAAAATTATATATTGAATAATAAATATGTTTCATAAGATATTGTTACTGTTTTTAAAAATATATTATAGAGTTTATTTTAAATTTATAAATAAACAAAATATTAGTTATTATATATTTGTATATAATTATCATTATTAAAGTATAAGAGAAGAAAAAATAAACTATAGTTTGTATTAACAATACTTAATAAAAAGCTGTTGAATAATATTTTAAACAATTATAATACTATTTAAATTATTATATTGCAATGTAAATATATAATCTTAATTTTTTAAAATTACAATATTTAAAGTTTGATTTTAACTAATTTCAAACGTATTACCTAAACAAAAGTTTAATATATATATAACATTAAACATTGGAAAACAATAGAAAGCAAAAGTCAACAACAATTGTCTCGAATGAGTCGATTAACTTAACATAAGATATCGATTATATTTATACATAAATAGATAAAACAAAATTATAGTTAAAAATAATATAATAGATTTCCTCAATAATTAGTCTTTAAAAATGACATTTTTTCGATTACTAATACCTTTATTCCTCTCAAATGGCAACTGATATGTCGTTTCTGTTTCTATGCCTTCATTTGCACCGGAATTTAATGGCTACTAATAATCCATCCAAACGTCTCTTAATTTTACATTTATTTTTACATAAGATGTCATTTTCTGTTAAATAGTTACTGAATTCATAAACTTACCGTTAATTTTTTCATCAAACATCAAAACAATAATAATATTCAAATAAACACATTATTATATCATTTTTAGGAGAAAAAACTTACATTAAATTGAAAACATTTATAATCACTAAACTATTGAATAGATGTACACTAAATGGATATTATTTGAGTGTCTAATAGCACACCATAAGCAGTATTGTCATTATCCCCGTCCGAACCTCTCGTATTGTTTAAATCACTCTCTAGAGAGTCTTAGACATAGGCAATGCTATTAATTACGATAAACTGGTCAACAATACGTTGAATTAAAAAGTGACAAAATGGTCATTTTTAAAAATTAATTGTATGATTTGCTAGATAATTGCAGTCGACTATTATTTATAAATTTTCCACTGTTAATTATCTGGCATATAATACAATTAATTAAAAAAATGAGCAATTACAATTTTATTAAGTTTAAAATTATCTACAACATTGCCACCTTGGTCACTTTTTAATTTAACCAATTGTTGACCAGATAATTGTAATTAATATCATCGCCGCCGCTGTTTAAGACTCTCTTAATTAGTCTCAATGACTATAAAAAAGTTCAATAGTGCTTATGTAGGCTTTATCTTACAATCAGACCCGCATCAGACTCCCGACTCGTGATTTTTTGTGAATATTTAGTAAACAATATTTTTAATATAAAAATGACCACAAATGGCAATGTTTTAGACAATTTTATACTGATTATATTTATAATTATTATTAACGTGTCTGATGCAATTATCTGGCCAATCATAATAGTAAATAAAAAATGATCAATTATAAATATATTCAGTATAAAATTGTCTATAACATTGCCAWTTGTGRTYATTTTTATATTAAAAATATTGTTTACTAAATATTCACAAAAAATCACGAGTCGGGTCTGATTTTAAGATAGAGCTCTGATGTATGCTGTTATCCACACAAATAATATCAATATATTTTAAACCAATTCATTAGTTTTTGTTGATTATAAGTGTTTTCAATTTAATGTAAGTTTGTGACTAAATTATATAATATATATTATTAAACTAACTAAAAAAGTGCCCAAAAAAATACTTGTTATTATAATAATAAATATTTTACTATTAAATTATAATTTTTATCAGATTCATATATCAAAAGGTCATTTAATGATCAAACTTTATAAATTATAGCAGTTTTCAAACATTATAATTTTTTATGTTTATTAATCATGCTTATATTGTAGGTAATAAAAATAAAATATATGACTAAATACTTATGAGAGAATATAATTAGGATTTTGCAAAAATAACTTCCCATTTATTATTATATAAAAAAATAATTATTTTATTTTTTATTTGTAAAATATTTTACTAACTTATAAAATTTTTATTAAGATTTGTTTTTTAAAAATATTGAAAAGTTATAATGAATAATATAATACATGAATATTACTGATTTTAAATTGATTTATAATTTGTTAGTTTTATAACATTTAAAGATAATAATGTTAACATATTATATACGGAAATTACTTTTGCAAAAATCTAAATATGTCTAAGATGTACTAGATATATTAAATACATTTATTTATATATTAATATTTTATATTACAGTAATTGTACCTGTACCAAGGACATATTTGTATTATTTTATTGTGCATTACTAATGGTTTCAATTATCATATTCTAGTACACAGATGTACTAAAGATTATAAATAAAACAATTTCTGATAGAAGTGTTTATATTCACGAAATCCTGAAACGATTCCATATCTAAATTCTTTATGTCCGTCTGTTAGTCAACATTTTTGTTGACAGTTTGAGTTGAGATTTGGATCAGACATCAAAAATAGGGTATAGAGAATTAGCATTGAAATTGTCCTATCTCATTAGCAACATAGAGAAAATGGCGGCTAAAAACTATTTTTAAGTTTTGGATTAAAACAATTAACAATTTATTTATGATTTATTGTAATTAATGTATTTAATGTTAAATCTATTATGTTTTTTTTCTATTGTAAAAAGTCAAACACAATTCAGTGTTGTTAATTTAGACACATTTACTATTATAAATCAATTATCCATTAATTCATTCATTTGAAAATATTATTATTTTTAATTAATAAATAATTGTAAACTATGTCTACAATTATTTTATACTCGCATTTCTTCTAAAATACTTATGGCTGTTATAATACTTTCAAATCTCTACAATAACTAATAAATTATAGAATATTTCTAAAATGACATTCAATTATACATTAAATGACAAAAAATATTAAGTTTATTTTGTTATATTGATTCATGTGTTATATAACATACTTATGATTGTGAATATTTTAATAATGATTCATTATATTTTGCAATTAATAAAAGAAATTATATTATAATTGTATAATTCTATAAATAGAGTAAATGATTAATATATATATATTTATAATATTAATATATTTTGTTTTTAAATAGTATAACCTTTAATTATTTGAATCGACATTTATCGCTGGTTGTCATATTGTTGATAATGGCTGGTGTGGTACCGGCCATACCCTATAGTCCTAATCTTAGTGTGATGTTTACTCTGGCCTTTATAGCCGGCTATTGTACTGGAGGTATATGTTTGTCTCAATAATATTGAAATATTTTTTTATTCACTTATAAGATAAATTTTTAATATTATTATCAAATTTCTAGGTTTAGACACTGGGCTAGTAGTATGGATAGTGGAAATCTGGGCCGAAAAGTCTAGTATCTATATGTGAAGCTATCAAGTATTTTTCTCGTATATTTAATAACTTATTTGAATAAGGAGTTCATCTGGAAATGCTTTCTATCATTTCCTACTAATAGTTATTACAACTACAGATTAAAATTTAATTTTACTTAAAATAATATAAAATTATAACAACACTTGAATTTAATCAAAAACACTTATTTACAAAATAATTTAAGATGTGTTAATAAGTGATATAATAATAATAATTTTTATTTAAGCTATAATTTAATACAGAATAATATTATAAACAATGTAATATTGTGATAATTATTAATAATTGCATATATTTTATTTATGTACTTAATTAAACATTTTTAATCTCTATAAAAAATCTTGAATTTTATAATTTAATTGAAGATATACTGTATATATGGTAAATGATATAAAATAATTTATTTATTATATTTTGCCAAATTAAAAATTGACATTGTATCTTTATGGTTTTTGTTTAACAAAAAAGTACTAGTTAAATTTTTCCACATTATATAAAAATAATAATAATAGTTAGAGATAAACATAATATCAATTAGTTTCGAAAACTACTATAAATACTGAAATATTGACCGTAAAAAACTAAACATAATTATTAAAAAAATATTATAGTATATTTTATAATCTAATTTTTTAAATATATTCTGTAATAGTGTTACAGATATTTTTTGAATTAAATAAAAATTGTTAAAAATATATATTATTTGTTTTTAAATTATAATAAACAATGAATTTACCTATTAGTGATAGTTTGCAACAATTTAAGATTGTTAAACCAATTACTAACAAACATAAACAATTGCTAACATGGACTTTATATTTAGCTTCAATTTCATATGTATGATAAATAATATATTTTAATTATTATTACTTTTACTTATATTTTAAATTTTTTAATAAATTAAATTATTTATTTAAATATTAATTTTAATTTTAAAGGGACTAATAATCAATGTAATCGGTCCCGTATTACACGATTTGACCAAAAAATTTAATACAACTACTGAAGAAATATCATATATATTTATGTGCTTTTATTTTGGATTTTTTATTGGAGCCATATTAAGTATATTATTATTATTATTATTATTATTATTAAATATTGATAATTATTACTTATATATTTTTCATTACAATAAATAGAGTAAATGATTAATATATATATATTTATAATATTAATATTTTTTGTCTTCAAATAGATAGTATAACCTTTAATTATTTGAATCGACATTTATCACTGGTTGTCATATTGTTGATAATGGCTGGTGTGGTACCGGCCATACCCTACAGTCCTAATCTTAGTGTGATGTTTACTCTGGCCTTTATAGCCGGCTATTGTACTGGAGGTATATGTTTGTCTCAATAATATTGAAATATTTTTTTTATACAC